CCGTAAACCCCTGAACCCCGCTGAGCGACAGAGTCGTTACAATAAAGGGGAAGTGGAGCCACACTTCGGCATCAAGTCATAGGGTCTCAAACTCGATACCCGGCACCGCCACCTGCAGGCTTTCGCTACTGCTTGTGCTGTTAACTAAAGTGTGGCTAATCCTAACCCCCCAGGTACCTACTATATAGGGTGCTAGAGCCCCTAGGGCCCTACATAGTAGGCACCTGCAGGGTTAGGGTAAAGTCTGAAAATGGGTTTTAGGATTTAGGGTTTAGGCAGCAGCAACAACAGCGACAGTTGTCCTGTCGAATCTCTCGCTTGGTTGCGGGGCTTCTGTTGAAACCTAGGTTGGAGCTTGCAGAATCCGGCAAGTCCTTAGCTCTGAAGTCAAATCCTTGGGTTTACTGTTGAGGTTTGGGTTTGCGGTCGAAGGTCTTTGGGGTTTATACCTCAAGCTACCAGAACCTACCTTGCGTAGGTCCTCATTATATACCCTAGTATAGAATTCAGACGGGCCCTACAATAAAGTAGGTTCTGGTAGTCTAAGGAAGCGTTCAGGGTTGGTTTTACGGTCAAAGGTCTACGCTGAAGGATCTCAAGCGGCTGGAGTCTGGAGTTTAGCATCTAGGACTCTAGGTTTGGGGATGTTCAGGAGTCCCGATAGGCCCCATTTACTATGGATAGTTCGAGTCGCAGCCCCAAAAACCTTCAACCGAACTCCACATACGCCCGAACCTCTAAATCTTCCTGGATGAACATTGCAGGGAAGATGGCGAGGAGGAGGAACGAGCACAAGAAATGGAGGTGCGCTGACTAATGATTGCGAAAGAAACGATTTTGGGTTCAGGGGTTTAGGGTTTAGGAGGAATTGAAAATATGAGTTAGGACTACAGAAGTTAGAGGGCTGCAGAGGTGGCGAGAGTTCCAAGTGGATTCAGGTTGTTGAGTGGGCAATGGGCAACGGCTTCTAAGGGTTTCGGGCTTGCGGTTTAGATAAGGCTTAGGTGGATATATGGGGTTCTAACTCTATCGTTTCATGGACTTCTTTTGAGGTGAAGGTCTATAGAGGGTTGTGGCATTTGAGAGCTTCCAACAGTTTCGAACCTCCCCGT